CTAATTTACTTACAAGGCTTATTTTGCATCTAGTTTTTTTTACTTTTGTATTACATTCACTATCCCATGAGACGCTATTTCATTCATCTATATTTCGAAATACACAACTAAATTTAGGGTCAGTTACATGAAATGATATTCAATCATTGTATATTCAGATACCGTCAATTGAATTTAGGGCCGATATATTTCAGCCCATGCCATTAATGGAGATCCACATTTAGCAACATGATTTAGCAAAGTTACCTTCAAATTATCTTCAAGAACACGGGTAAAGTAGTTCTGCAGCTCGGATCCTCGAAAATAGGTCAATATTTCCTGCCAATCAGGTGGATCCTACAAAGAGAAGTTCATTCAGGAAAAAGTCGAGGAAAAGGATCAACCTCTGAAAAATCTAAAAGGATGGCTAGATGAGATTACAATAAAGCGTCCCAAGTTAGGTTTCAATTTCCCAGCCAAAACTTTAAGCGCAGTTGATTTCCCTATGCCGTTAGTCCCAACCAAGCCAAGAACTTGCCCAGGCCTTGGAACAGGTAACCTGTCAAAAATTCAAAAGAGTTAAGAGAGAAAATAGCCAGAATCTATGATTGAAATGGACCATGACTCGAAACCAACCTATGCAATTTGAAGGTGTTAGGACCATAACGATGAGTTGTATCCTTATCCAAGTCCTTTGGTAGATTAATAATCTGGATGGCTTCAAACGGGCATTTCTAGAAGAACATGTAAAACCACGATGAGTCGAGAAAATCCATAAATTCAAAGCTCTGCTAAAAAAGGATTCACGACTGTATATCTATTAAGTCGAACAAACCTTCACACATATACCACATCCAATGCACAATTCCTCTGAGATGAAAGCAACCTTGTTTGCAGAAGTCACCTCAATGCAAAACTTACCTAGAAATACAGTAATATACAACCATTTAAATTAGACATCCTAGTTCATTATGGCAGAAATTAAATAAAAAATCAGTAATAAGAGCATTATCCTCAAACAATGTACCAAATTTTGAATAGCAACAAAGAAACAACTAGACTGCAAGTCTGCACATACGACAGTTACATATTAAAGTTTTCCAAGCTAAAAACAAAGGCATCCCGATTAGCAGCGGAGGCGGCTGGCAGCAAGATCTTTTAAGAGAAAACTAAGACACAATTATCGATCTATTAATCAAAATTATATCGTTGAGATGAGTTGATTCACTCTAATTTTGTCCCAAAAGCTTTGCAACGTGTATGATTTTAACCAAATATAGCCATGGATTTCTCAAGTTATACCAAATTACCTTAGCAAAATCAGTCGAACACGCCAAGTATACATGCATGCAACACAAAACAGGGCGAAACGGAGTTGAACAAACAGAAAACAACAAATACAATCCCACAAGCGGGTCTAAAGCACGGTCGCCATATATAAGTGAAGGTGAAAGTATACCAGTTTTGACGACAGGGCAACTCTTTTTACACTGCTGGCGACACTTTTTGGGCTTGCACTTGTCGGAATTCACAATTGCGATACGCGTCAACCTCTGATCGGCCATCTCTCTCAATTCCACTGTTTACCACGACAATATAGTTTCAAAGGAAAATCAAAGCCCTAATTCTAGATTGGTTTGCGAAACAAAGAGAGGTTATTTATACGTCGAGAAGGTACGCGGCACATAATGGTGGCGAGAAGACGAAGCCCCGGATATATAGGAAGAGAGTGTCGTAAATAATTTTTAATTACTATATTACTATAGTAATGAAAAGAGTAGAATAGAAATTTCCTATGCTGATCAAGCCAATAAACAAAGACTGAGGGGGTGATAAAAAACTGTCAAAGACCTCATGTTTGTTTATAAGAAATTTTTAAAAAATTTCCAGCATTTTAACTCAACTACTTTATTTAACTCAACTTTAATTCAATCTCACTATCATCAAAATTATTTATATAATTAAAAAAAATCAATCAATCATTCATACACATCCCATCAACCTTAATTCACTATTCATCCACTCACATTATTTTAACTAACCATCACTTCAAATCTCTCTCTCCTACTTTTACATCAAATCAATTTTAATTATTTTATTATAAATATTATTTTAATATACCCACTAACAACTAACCATACCAATTTTTTTTTTTAAAATTAACCAAACCAAACCAAAAAATCCAAACAAAATAAAAATTTTTATAAAACAAAATTCTTGCCACTCCCTTATGCTATTATTAGTTTCCTAATGTTGGTAGAACTAGTACTCTTGAACTTTATTTAATTATATAAAATTTTTAATAAAATTTAATTTTAATAATATGAAAAAAAAATTAGAGTAAATTATTTCACTTTATGAAAATCTTCTTTATATTGATATAGAATACATTAATGCAAAACACCAGTGTATTATATTAGAAAAATATACTTAAATTTATATAAATATATATATATATATATATATATATATAGAGAGAGAGAGAGAGAGAGAGAGAGAATTTTTATATAAAAATTAAAATACTTTTTTGAAATTTAAAAAATTATTATTCCATTCAAATTTTTTATAATTTTAAATGTTCTAGCAGGTATAGATATAAGGCCAGATCTGGATGGACTTAACCGAGACACTAGAAATTGACACATAGGATTACGAAACGCCAAAATTTCACACATAAGATCATGAAGCACCAAAAATTAATACACATGCTCTAAAAATTGTGCATTAATATATACTGGTACAACGTCCGTGATCTACAGGGTGTTGGATAAAAAAAATAATATCCAACCAAATTTGAAAAAATTATATATATTCATATTGTGAAATAAAAAAATTATAAGTAATTAATATGAAAATAAAATAACTTGTAGCATCATTTCGAATTATAGAAAAAAATTTGTATGAAATATTAATCATGTTTGTTCAAATGAAATAAAATAATCAATTTATTCGATAGTTACTTAATATAACACAGGTGAACAATACGGATGCATGAAAAAAAATATTTGTATCAAAATATAGAAGTAAAGATATTTATATTCTTATAATAAAATGGTAAGAAATTAAGTATACAATTAATAACTAAAAAAATTAACAAAGTTAGTTATTGGGATACCGTGTTTTATACTTGATTTATCCAAATGATATTTTATTTAATCACACATATATATATACAACTCGGTAATTTTATTTTCAATTTAATTTAATTTTTTTTTCAATTTTGATTATATTTTATATTTATATAGTTTTCTTCTCGCGTTTGTTATTTTTTTTCAAATATCCTCAGCTTTATAATATTTAAAATAATTTAAAATATAATGTGAATGAGTATAATATTTTTAAAATTATAAAATATAATAATTTTATTATATTTAATTATAATATTAATTTATTTATATTCAATAATATTTTAAATTCATACATAAATTCTATGTTGTATTTATTTAAATTCATACATAAATATTTAGAATATTTTTCATATTAATTTTATGTTCATGCATAGTTTTTATATTATTTTCCAAATAAAGTAACTATTTTATGATATGCTAGCAAGGTCGACAACCGGGGAGACTTCGGTCAGTTTGGCATATGAGATGGAAGCTTTGTTGTCGGTGGAGATCGAGTTGACCTCACAGAGGTTCTTAGCTTATGACAAAGAGAAGAATGAGGAATTGCAACGAGCAACATTAGATACGATCAATGAGCTGAGGGAGAAGGTCGCTATTCGAGTAGCAGCTTACAAACAAAAGGATGATAGTTGCACATGATAAGAAGGTCAAGTGAGGAGATTCCAGGTCGACGACCTCGTTTGGAAACGGGTGGATGTCCTGAGGCACGTCGGCAAGCTCGTACCCAACTGGGAGGGTCTATGCACTGTTGAACGAGTTCATGCTGGAGGAGCTTACTCACTAAAAGACGTTAAAGGGAGGTCATTGCTGAGGTCATGGAATATTATGAACCTCAAAAAGTACTATGCTTAAATTTTTTCTTCTTGTTCTATGAAATTCTTCTACTTATCATGACTAATGAAGAAGATCGTTGTTATCATATGAATTGTTTGTATTCGACATGTTTCAGTCGACCTCAGTGGTAGGTCAACATACAATTTTAACTAAAATCCAACATGATAAGGCTTTCGAGTTGGTTGGTCGCTTGTTTGAACGACCCCATAGGAGGTTGATCAAATGTTGAAGACAAAAAATCTAACATGATTTTGGCTTTCGAGCTGGCTGGTTGCTTGTTTGAACGACCCTAGAAGAGGGTTGGGTAAGTGTTGAAAGACCAAAATCTAGCATGATTAAGGCTTTCGAGCTGGCTGATCGCTTGTTTGAACGACCTCAAAGGAGGGTTGAGCAAGTATTGGAGACCAAAACCTAGCATGACCAGGGCATTCGAGCTGGCTGGTTAACCCTAGAGGAGGGTTGTGCAGGTGTGGAAGACAAAACCCAGCATGGGTGCCTTTGGGCTGGCTGATCTACCCCAGAGAAGGGTTTGTGCAAATGTTGAAGACAAAACCCAACACGACTAAGGGCTTCGGGCTGGCTGGTCGACCCAGAGGAGGGTTGTGCAACTGTTGAAGACAAAACCCAGTAGGATTAATGTCTTTGGGCTGGCTGGTTGACCCCAGGAGAGGGTAGTGCAAATGTTGAAGACAAAAACTTGAGTGGATGAAGCGTTTGCTAGAGAAACCTTGCAAGAAGATCGAGGCATGACGACAGTACGTTTCAATCAAAGTGTTGACGATATTTTTCGTCAGCCTTACCCCCAATTTTTACCTTGCTGGGGTGCCGGCCCCCGGTGAGCCATTGACCATGCACCAGAGACTCAAGGTCTTCCACAATGCTCCTATCCTAGGGTGAAAACCCATCTTGAGGCATTCTGTGGTTTTTTGCCCTCCCCCAGATTCGAATCCTGCACCTTGAGCATAAGGCACCTTGAGCATAAGGTGGAGTTCATGGCAAGACTCGAACCTTGCACCCTGACTCTAAATTTGTTTATATTATATTTTGAAAAAAAAGTAATAAAAAAACTATACGGGCTCTTAAGCGGCTTCTGGACCGCTTAATCAGCCTATGCGCCACCTAGACCGACTAATTTCACAACCACCTGGGCTAAGGGATGTTTAATTACCCGAGCGCTTAGAAGGACCGGTTAGACAAAAATAGGTACACTCGAGTACCACCTAGGCAGGCATGTAGACCGACTTTTTAATACAGTGGAACACAAGTAGTAAAATACTAAAACACCCGTATCAAACAGAGTTACAAACTTATAAAACATAACACAACTATATTATCTTCATAACACAACTATATTATCTTCCATCTCCAGCTCCTATACACATAACTAACTGCGGCGCCATGACAGAAAGTCGGGGCAAATGACTGCTTATCATGCACCACTTATGGCTTGGTTCAGTAAAAAGTTCGAAAAAAAAAAACCTAGACACATAGCACAACCGCTTGCTTTGATTTCATAAAGATTGAGGGTCAGCAATCACATCATAAAGGATCACTTCCACTTCTTGAATTTGCCACCATGCATCCCAAATCCATGCTTCCCTCCCTTGTGCTTGCCATGCTTGCCGTGCTTGCCAAACTTGCCATGCTTGAACTTCCCATGCTTTCCCTTGCCGTGATGGCCCATGCCCGGCATGCCATGGCCATGGACATAACCGCCGCCATGATGCCCACCGCCATGCATCAGATGTGAGGCGCCATAAGCAGCGGCCGCAGCTGCAGCACCTCCCGCTATCATCCCTCCAATGGACCCACCTGAAAAAGGCAAAACTTCTTAGTCAGAGACACACAAACAGAATAATCAAGTCATCCAAGTAAAACGCACATTACATGCCACAGTTATATAGCGGATGTGTATGCAGATAGACACCCAGCTACCAAAAACTACAAATAGCCAATAAAAAATAATGTGTTACCAAATTACAGCTTTTTGGACGCAAATTACAGAGTGATACTACCATGGTTTCGGAAACTAAATGAAACAGGGCACAAGCTGAAAGCGAACAGCTCATTCAACTGTTTACCCCTCATACAAAATACACCTAGAAACAGCCTTCAAAAGAATCATAAGCCGGCTATGTATAATAATACCCATTTCTCATTCTGTCCCCCAACTTCCATCTTCTAGAAACTAACGACATTTTGTCCTCAAGTTCAAATTTTACTCAAAACACAGCACATATCAAGTCTCAATGATATAAGTACATACTAGATCACTCCATGACAACAAACCATATGACTGGGAAGGGGGCAAAGGAAAAAAAAAATAATAATAAAAAAAGAAAGAAAAAACTAGGAACAGCACCTGGTTGATGGGGTCCATGTGGACCAGCTGAACCGGCAGGGGGGTAGCCAGCTGGCGGGTACCCTCCTTGCGGAGGATATCCCGATGGCGGGTACCCTCCTTGTGGAGGATAACCTGATGGTGGGTAGCCTTGAGGAGGGTAGCCTCCGGGGGCCGGGTATTGACCAGGTGGGTAATGGCCCCCAAGATGAGAGAAAAGCCCCTTGTCAGATTCGTCGTGCTTGTCCTTTCCACCTCCCATTTTTCTCAGGAACTCAGTAAGTAATAAATCCTGTATGACCATGACAAAACCACAAGATGAACCAGCATAAGAATGTCAGAATTATTAGAGAAGAACATGTTCTCAACTAGAGCATATCTTCGTAGTTGTTGTATGTAATCCATTAAAGGCTTGCAAATTACGCAGCTTCCGAACATGTACAGATCACATAATCAAGCAGATGCATAAGATCAAGCCAATCCTCCAAAGTACTTCTTGCGAGATAAAGTACACCCGCGACCGTTTAGAGATAACGATTAGATGCGAGTCTATTTTAACAGGAAGAAATCTATATGATGCAGAGCAGAAAGTAATAAGAACCAAACACAGCACCGTCAAAGACAATTTACGAATATTTCCTCATACATATGCCTTTGCAAATAAATGGATATATAGGATCCAAAGATGGCAAAATCAATCCCTAGTCGAAGTCTATGAAATCACAACAGCTCCTCAGTTTAACAGAGAAATTAAAGTAAAAACAGAGATCTGATTGGATGATCTGCTACAAACACAAAGGATTACTTTACAGCATAACAAATCCACGCCACAAGAGTTGAAAATTCCAAGGCCCATCATCACAATTAAACGAACATCAGAAAATTACCGATCATGAATGGAATTCGTATATTCAAACGGTACGTGCTTACACGAAATCAGCCGAAAAAGTCAGCAGCGACCAAATACACAATGCATTAAAAGTAGGTTCTCGCAAAAATACTACTATTAAAAAACCGAAATGAACAGAGCTGTAGCTGCGCGCAGATAAAGGAGGGAGAAGGAGAGAAGGGATGGGATGACCTTGAAAATCGCTGCTTGGTAGAATTGAATGTGAGAAGAGTGGATATGCTTGAAATCTGATGAATGCTTTGTAAGCAAAATTAGAAATATCGGATGGGAATAAATTCGATTCCACGCGTTACTTAACGCGTACGTGACGGGTTTGAACTAGCACTGCCTATATGCTGCAATTGGATGAATAATTGAATATAATAAAGTGGATACTGATGGAATAATTAAATTGACATATAATTAATGTAAATAAAATTTTAAAATGGACCGCACTATGGAGGAAAAGCCCAACTACACGGCCCAGTAAATATACACTCTCTTTAGAACAACGATTATCGACACCTCACACGCATCAGGATTTGTACATTTTATTCCAACTTTACCCATTACCTACACGTTAGCCTACCCCGGTTACCATTGGCACTGGCATTAGCTTGGTAGCTCTTCACAAAGTATAACAGTAGGGAAAAGGTTTGAGAATTTGTGGAATTCTATTCAAGTCCAATCGCACTAGCATGTGCACACGCTTTATTGATTTATAGGCCGCCGGAGCTTTGTGAAGAATACAGAAAATGGGGACGGCCACCGCATTGGCGCCGGGGCTGTCGCGGAAGCTGAAGAAGGTACTGGAAACTCGCACCGACACGCCCGATCTGCTTGCCTCGCTCAACACTCTATCCAGTTTCTATTCTGAAAACACCTCTCATGCCCGCCGGAACCTCCGATCCACCATCGAGAAGCGCGGCATCTCCATCAACGAGGAGTTCCTCGCAGCCTCCGCCTCCGCCCAGCAGGTACACGAGCTGATCTTT